ATGTACTGTGTACATGAAATTTGCTAAGAGAGTAGATCTTAAGTCTTCTCACACACACACACAAGAGATAAATATCTGAAGTGATGGAGAGGTTAATTAGCTTGATTGTGCTAATAATTTCACAATACATACATCAAAACATTATGTTGTACATTTTACATATATACAATGTCAATCTTACTTCAATAAAACAAATAAAAGTATATATACATATTTATATATTATTTATTTATAATATATATTTACCTATACATATATATTTATTTGCATTTTTATATATACATGAAGGTACTTCGAAAAGTTTATGAAAAGATATGTGTTATCTTTTAATTCTATTTTTTCACAAACTTTTTGAAGTACCCTTGTGTGTGTGTGTGTGTGTGTTTTGAACCACATGTGGTCAAAGAGGAGGTTGCTTCTCCAATGGAAAACAAAAATATCACCAAACTCATACATTGCTGGTGGGACTCTAAAATGATGAAGCTACTGTGGAAGATCATTTGGCACTTTCCCAAAAAATTAAACATAGAATTACCATATGACCCAGAAGTTCCACACGCCTAGGTCTATATCCAAGAGAATTGCAAACAGGTCTTCAAACATGAATGGTCACAGTGACATTATTTATAATAGCAAAAAAATGGAAACAACTCAAATGTCCATCAACAGATTAACGAATAAACAAAATGTGGTATATCCATCCCATGGAATATTGTTCAGGCATAAAGAGGAATGAAGTACTGATACATACAACAACCTGAATGAGCTTCGAAAACGTTATGCTGCTGGTCACAAAGGACCACATTTTGTGTGATTCCTTATATACAAAATGTCCAGAATAGGCAAGTCTATGGAGACAGAAAGTAGGTTAGTGATTGCCAGGGATGGGTAGAGGTGAGAATGGGAAGAGACTGCCAATAGGTATGGGATTTCTTTGGGGGGTTAAAAAAATGTTCTGCAATTAGAGAGTGGTAATGGTTGCACAACATTGTGAATATACCAGAAGTCATTGAATTACACATCTTAAAATGGTCAAAATTATAATTTTACATCATATGAATTTTACCTCAATTTAAATAAATGCTACCAGAAGAAAGAATGCATGCCAGGCAGGAAAAGCAATAGATATTTGTTAATAGAAAGAGCACTGGCCAGGAAGGCAGGAGGCCTAGGTTCCACTTCTGATTCCCTGAGCCTTGTTTATGCTTTGGTGTAGACTGGGGTGGGGGATGAGGGAGTGTTAAACACCTGGGCCTTCAGGTACTAGTGAGAAGGCAGAGGGAGAATAAGACATGAAAAAAAACACATCAATTGACATTTGGTAAAGTGTGCTGCTTCTTGGATTTTTCAAGAATATCCTTCTGAAAGTGATGTTAAAATGGGACTTTCCTGTTGCTTAAAATTGGTCCTGCAATTAAAAGCAACAGGTTCTAATTACCCCTTATTCTAAAGAGCAATGAACCAATGGGGCCTTTCCTCAGAGCTTACATCATGGCTTGCAGAACTGGCCTTACCACAATCAACCACATGAGTGGGAGAAGCCAAAGGCTTGAGCCCTTGGCATTATAGGGAACAAAGTGTCCACAGTAAAAAGAGTTTTCGCCTTTGCTTCCCATGGAAGGGAGAGCAGATGCCTCTTCTTCACCTCCAATGTCAAGTGAGCAGAGCTCCAAAAAATTGCCTGTAGAGTTTGGAGGTGCCTGCAAGAAAGGGAAGTTGGCCTCCCACTTCCCAGCAGGATGCTGGCTGTGCTGTTACAACTGGTGCCCACCTCTGGTCCTCCACTAGAGAGGAATTAGGTCAGACACTTCTCGAGATTGCTTAACACATTTATCCCTGGGAGTTTGCAGGTGTAGGGGAGGAAAAAATTTTCCTCTACACTCTTATGTTCCTTTCTGGGGGCCTATGAATTAAACTGGCAAAAGACAAAATAACACAAGAAAAGGCAAAAGAATTTTAATGATGTTTTTATGTGTACTGGAGCTTCACAGAAAAGAAGAGAAAACCCAATGAGGCAGTGAGACTTGGGGCTTATATACCATTTTAACAAAGAGTGATAAATTACGGAGCAGTGACTACACAAAGGAAAAGGGAAGATAGGTTTCTAGCAGCAAATTGTGGGACGGTAACTAGGAAATGTATGGTAGATAAGTGTTGTTTAGTAAGGCTTGTTATGCAGACTCAAATCACCTCCAGAGTTGCTCACCTATTCCTGACACAGGACCCCCCTCCTGTGTCACAGGAACACCCTTATGAATGGGAATTTATGCCAAATTTACAAAGGGAAATTTATGCTCTGCTTTTAGGCAAATAGTGGGAGGAAAGGGAGAACTTCCTTTGTCTGCTGTTTCTTGTCTTCAACTCAAAATAATCCTGATGCCAAAGTGGCATGTTTTGAGATTTTGTATTCTGATTCCCTTCAGGGGCATCCCTAAGTGAATTCTGATACCTACTGGGATCCCAAGTTAGGAAGCTTCCTATAGTTGCCCAAAGCAGGGGGGGGAGGGAAGGACAGTGGTGAGTGCGCCTGGGGAGAAAGGAATGAGGAAACGGGTTTGGGGTGGTTCAGAAAAGGATGGTAGAAGTTCCCCTGGCTCCACAGAAAGAAGCACAGAGGTTAGAGCAGCTACTCTGTGCCTCAGTTTCCCCATCTGTAAAATGAGCGCAGTAATAGTATGCATCTCAATGAGGTCAGAATTCAATGACAATATATGTTAGAGATTTTGAACAGTGCCTGTACATAGAGCTCCCTCTAAGTTAGGTATGATTATTACCGTATTGGTTGGCTACTGCCACAAAAATGCTATGTAACAAGCCACCCCAAAACTTGGTGGCTTACGACAACCATCATTTATTATAACACATGCATCTGTGGTCAACTGGGGTTTGGGTAATCTGGGCTGAGCTCCACTGGGCAGCTCTGCTTCTCACTGCAGATCTCAGGACAGCTAGGGCAGTTCTGTTTCATTTTCTCGGGTGAGTGGGCTACTGCCTCCTACAGAGGCAACAGGATGGCAAGCAGACACAGCAAGGCCTCCCAAGGCCCAGCCTCAGAACTGATGTGTGGTCAGTTCTGCCCATTTGCCATTGGCCAAAACTAGCCATATGGCCAAGCTCAAAGTCAAGAGGTGGGGATAAACACTTGTTCTCACTGAGGCCATAGCAAGAGTGGGGGTGCAGGAAGGGGTGAATCATGGCCAATCATTCAGTGGAACACAATGATTGTTGGAGAAAAGCAGGAGCTATCAGACTGTCCAGATGGCCATTGTGCCAAGTGAGAACAAGGCTAGAACAGGACTGGAGGCACCAATCACCAGCAGAGTCTCAGGAAGACCACTCTGCCCCTCTGTGAGGGGGATCTTCAGTGATGAAAAAGGTCTGGGTAAAACTGAAGTACATACACCATCTACTGGGAAACCAACCCATCATCAGAGGTCACCACTGGTTCCAGATGAAGTTAAAGAGGGTCATGAGCTTCTGTACAACCCATGAGAGATCTCCCTTCTCTATTCCCCTTCCCATCTTGTAGCCTGAGAAGCTGGGCCTTGTTAAAAGAATGGCAGGGTCTGGGGGGGACATGTGTCCCAGAACTGGACCATATCTCCTATCCCACTACACTCAAAGGGACCAGAGAAGAGACAGGGAGAAAGAGAAAGCTATGCCCCATCTACCCTGAGCCTATGCTGGGAGAAAAGAGATGAAATATACAGTCAGCCTGAGTTTGGAGCTTTAGACAAGACTGGTTTGCCTTTTTAATAACTTCACATCACCAGAAAGCTGTGGAATTCTCCCAAGATGTCATTGCAGGACAGAAATATGCGTTGGACATGGTGAAAAGCAATGACTTTGGGGGAGCCCCTATTTATAACCCACTGGGTTGAGACAGCCCAATGTAGAACACTTGGAAAGGTCGTAAACCATTCTGTGCAGAGAGGGGGTGAGGTGTAATCAAAAAGCAATGGCTTTAGTGTCACAAAAATTGAATTCAATCCCAAACCCTACCACACCCCAAGGGAATTCACCCCAACATCTCCTCCTTCCTTTTCTCCAGTCTCCTCTCTGTGCCTTCTACTGGCCAGACCCAACTGGAAGCCAGAGGATAAAGGTGCCCAGGGATGTCATGGACTGTGTTCGTAGCTTCAGAAGCTTCCGAAGAATCTGAGTAGTCAACATCTTTGCAGAC